TGGCTTGGGGCTGGAGCCCCAGCTGGAACGACAGCCCCAGATGGATCACTGGGCTGGATGGGAAATCAGGATGTGGGCAGCTCCTGCTGGTTTAGAAGGGATGAGTGAATGATATTTTGTGAGCTTAAGACAAACAGTTGCATTAAAGGCAGTGATGGATCTAAATTGTCTGAATTGTTCGAAGCAAATCCTGGAGTCACCTTACCCAAATAGCATTTCCAAGCTTTTTCTGTGCTGGGATCCCACTGGCTCTGTAAGTCAAGATGGGATGGGTAGCTGAGGCTCTCCTCATTAAATGTCCACAGGCACTTTCCTGAACAATTCTTTTAACTGTGGTCTGGCCAAACTCCAGTTGGAGTAATTGCCTTTGCCTCGCAGTATAAAATAAAAGCAGGGCATTTTTCTGCAAATCTCTTATTTTCAATTGTTTATTGTCTGGATGGTGGCATCATATCTCTGCCCATTAATCCATGTCTCCAAGTTTCTATAATTCAAGCCTCCTGGAGGGGGTTCAAGCTGCCACCATTTATTATTTGAGTCGGTCTGCCAGTGAAATGTTTACTTCTTCCCCAGAGCATCAACTCCCTACTCTCGTTGCACCCTCACTCGAGGCTTGAATGAGCAATCGTTGGTTCCAAACCAATATTAACTCTGTTAAAAATATCCCACATATTTAAACTCTGTTTTTACACCACTGGGGTGGATTAGTTGGGCATCTTTATGTTGCTGAAGTCTGTTTTTTCCCCAAAACTTATGGGAATGTCGTTCCCCTTCAGGTGCTCTACTCTTCTCTCAACCTGTCAAATTGGTTACTGTCTTACAAAGCTGTTTGGGGAAGAGGAGAAGGAGATGGATGGACAATGTGCCTGTTTCAGTCTTGTTCCCTTAGGATATCCAGCTAAGAATGAAGCTGTTTATGGCATGTGTTAAACACCTCATTGCCCCGTGTGAAGCCGTGGTTTATGGGGGATGTTCACAGGAGCTGCTGGGCTGCAGTCAGTGCACCAAGCACATGATCTCTTCAGCAGTGCCATTCCACATTGCTTGCTCTTATCTCAGGGGAAGGTGAAGCTGCACCCAGGGCAGGGAAGCAAATGCTGGAGGGCTCGTCACGTGCAGAGTGGGTGGAGGCTGATTCTCCACCCCGTGCCCAACCAGGTACACCCATAAATACCAGTTTTACAGTGACTTCCTAACCTCAGGAGTCCACCAGACACGGCAGGGTTGGAATGGAGCCCAACATCCTAAAGATCAAAGGCAATTTGCCTGCTTGTTTTCAAGGGGAGGGCTTCCCCAGACTGAAGGGGGGGCTGAGCAGCTGAGTGTGTGCTCCGTGCAGACAAACAACCCCGTCCGCAGCCTCCGAGCGGCCCACGCTGTGCTGGCGCTTGAGTCACATCTCCCACGCCCGTCTCCAGGCTGACCTTACTCACCACACAGCTAATGCTCACCTCGTGAAGTCATCCTTCCCAGATCAGTTGCTGCAGATGATTGATGGCACGCAATATTATTCCTTCTCTTCCCTTTCACACCCGATCCTTGTTTATCGCGCCAACCTCCCCGCTTGGGAATTCGTTTTGCTGCCCTGGCTATTAGGGGGGAGATAAGAAGAGGTTTTGGAAGAGGTGCTGGCCAAAAGAGCAGATATTGGAATATTTATGAGCAGCCCTGATGGCAGGAGCTCGGGGTGGTGTTTTGCACAGTAACCTCGTTTGGGCGGCCGGTAACTGCATTTGCTCCCTGTTAGTGAAAGCAGCAACAGCATAACCTGCCTTCTCATATGACTTCTCACATGGACCTGCTGGATTTGCCTCTAATTACAATTCAATTTGCAATGATAAATAGTTTAATAAGCGAAAATGGGCTCGGCTTCCGTCGATTATGGCTCTGTGTGGCTTAGGGGAGCTTTACAGGGTGCTGTATCTCATGGAAACACAACTTGGAGCTTCAAAATCCAGTTGCTCGACTGGCAGCTGTTGTGCTGCTGTTTTTGGCAGGCAGCAGAAGGGGAATGACACGTTGTTTTACCTGGTACTAAGGAAAGATAAGCTGGGGGTGCAGCTCCCAGATGTCTCGCTTGCATTGCTTGGGTCATGTCGGCCTGGAGAGTCGATGCTGGGCACTGAGTTCGGGCTGGTTTTTGGGTCTGTTCGGGCTGGTTTTGTGGTTGTTGCTTGCAAAAGGGACCCAGGTTGAGCACAGCATCAGTTCTGCAGAGCAACAGGACTGACTGTGCCTGGGCTCTCACTTGGCTTGGTGGTTTTCAGAAATAATTGGATTCTCTTACGCCTTTCATGGCTGTGACTGGGAAGTTTCTGTTGCTGGCTGCTGAAGGGAGGCATTACATTTTTCTGCTGGATTTCTTTGATATAAATTTCTAATTCACAGTGGGGAGGGAGTTGTTGGGGGTTTTTTTGGTTGGGGTTTTTGTGTGTGTGTGTCTCTTTTTTTAGAATGTAATAGCTTTACGTTGCTGCATTGACAGAGACTCCTCCTGTGGAGGCTGAATGCAACTGGTTGGTGGCGAATGCAACTTTTCCTTCCAGTGGATAAACCATCCCCAAGGACAGCCGAGTGGTTTGGCTTCCTCTCAGCCTGCCAAAACTGGAAAGAAATGAGATAAATTGCGGGGAGGTGATGGGTGACTGTCAGTTTGAAGCCATTCCCCCTTGTCCTGTCACTACCTGCAGAGATGTTCCCCTCCTCCTGCTGCACGAGCACAAACCAGCTCAGGGGGTAGGGTTTGGGGTGCACTCTAGAAGAACACCCCTCCAGCCTGTACTGACACCTTTCCTATTTCAAAGTTGCACTTGCTATCCAGGTAAAACCCCCTGGGAAAAGGGAACGTGCTGAAAAACCCCCAAGTGACTGGAGCCAGATGCTGGGCGTTTTCTCCAAAGCCAGAGATTTGTGATTTGCTGCTGACAGCGTGAACTGGTGTTAAGTTATTAAATTGCAGATGAGCTCATCACTTGGCCTCGAACAAGTTTCAGCCTTGAGTGGCTCTAAAATATTGCATGTGGTGGAAAAGAGACAATGCTGGTGTGGCAGAGAGATTTAGGGAGCAGCTGAGAAAGACATCTGTGCAGAAAAAATGCGTACCAGGAGGGAGGAGGGAATACTTCATGTGAAAAATGTAAGTTCTCCCAGCAGAGAGGAGGAGAAATTCTCTGATTTATTAGCTCTCCATTTTCATTTTAGCTTAAGAGAAAATTGTCAAGAGTTTTGAGATGCTTAAAGGGAAGTGGCAGGATGCTAAACCTGGTTTGATCCTGAAAGGTCCCAGTGAACTGAGTGTGCAGGATTACCTCTACCAAGTCCCCAGACTGGCTCCTTTGGTGATGTGTGGTGTTTACCAGTGATGCCAGATGACCATGGACCAAATCCAGCTCTTAGCTGATGTTTGCTAAATCCTAATGTTGAGCTTTACCAGACTGGGAAGGTGACACCCACACTGCTGTTTGGTGTGTCTCCTCCTGAGAGAGAGGGAGTTACCTTTGGGCATCTCCCTGCCTTCCATCACCTGCCCAATTTCTGTTTTCCCTGCTGTTCCTCTTGCAGAGGAACCCAAGCTCCAGTTCTGCTCAATCACCTGCAGATCCACACGGTGCTGAAACACAGGAGGGTGAAGATGACCTTGAACAAATGAGTTGGTAGTTTTTTCCAGCCTGATCAAACCCAGCCTTGGTGGGCTGGCCTGGCTGCCCCAGTGAGCACAGTGCTCAGCTGAGCTCTTCATCTGCACACTGAGATGAGTTCACTTTATAAAGTGCCAACTTGGCAGAAGCCACGAGATAGACCATAAATCAGTGTGGCCACTTTAGTTTTCCAGCTGGGCATGTTTTGCTCTCAGTGGGCAGGTTGGCTGGTTGGGTTTTGTGGCCAGTTGGATTTGTTGTTTTGAGGCTTTTTCAGTGCCCCTGGCAAGGGAGAGCAGCCTCACATGGGTGGTTTTTAACTGCCTCGGCTCTTTTTTTCCTAAATGACATGTTTGCAGTCAAAGAGTTGGCAAAGCTGGTGTTAACTCAGTCAGTGCTGCGGGGGTGATCCTAAAAATACCAAGGAAACCAGTGTGATAAAGACTTGTCACCTCGTTTGTGGCCGTGAGCTGTAATTGCAGGTAATGTGAGATCCCTCTGGCTGTTCCAGGCAGTGTCTGAAGGCACAATTGGGGTTTTTTTAAGTGAAGATGGTTGTTTTCAGCCTGTCTGAAGTCCCAGAGCATCAACACCTATGACCAGTGTGCCTTCCTGTGTGGTGTGGTTTGGTTTGTTGGGGCTGGAGCATCTCTGAGCTCAGGACAGACTCCAACATATTTCATAGAACGATGAGTTCTCTGCCAAAATTCCTCAAATTATTATGTCTAAGAATTGCAAATGGTAGAAAATAGTCTTGGAAGGCACCTCAGGAGGTCTGATCCATCTCTAGGGCCAGGATCAGCTCGATCTGAACTGCTCTTGACACAACCTTGTCCGGTTTCCGATGGCAGAGCTTCCACCCTTTCCCTGATCATTCCAGTCCAGCACTTTGTTTTCCCCCCACTCCAGTTTATCCTCCTGTTTCCATTGCTGCAGTTTTAGGCTCGTTCTTTCCTCCCTGTGCACAGCAGACCCAGAGCACACCTCTGCTGTGTTTACTCTCCAGCTGCAGGTTTGTGTCGATCGAGCTGTCACATTCTCTGGAGTCCTCTCTGGGTTGACTCTGTTGCAAGTGTACTGTTAGCTCCATGGATTTATGGCTTGTTTGGATTTTGTTATTTATTTATGGCTTGTGTGGATTTATTATTGGAATGAGGGTGTTCATCCTGCACCCCTGATGCCTCTTTGCAGGGCAGATACAGGACAGGAGTGCAGCTTTCCCCAGGGTGACGTGCTCACGTGTCCCTTCCTCATGTTGGCTGGTGGTGGGAATCACTTTCTTCTTGGGATAGCTTTAAGATCCACACTAGTGCTGGCATTTGTAGCACATCTAACATTGCTCCTTTGCCCTGTTTCCTGCAGGATTTAGGGATGGAGTCGACCTCTCTGGATGATGTGCTCTATCGATACGCCAGCTTTCGGAACCTGGTGGACCCAATCACACATGACTTGATCATCAGCCTTGCCAGATACATCCACTGCCCCAAACCGGTAGGTACCGTGGTCTCCTCCCACTTCCATGACCCTGCTGGCTTGGGAGACTCCTGGGAGCTTCTGAGTGCCAGGGAAAAAGCCTCCTTGTTACTGCAGTGCTTGTGTGTCTTCAGACCAAGAGGATTTCCCTGGAGATCGATGGTTTGATTGCACAGTGTTGGGCTTTCCAGCTGCCCAAGTGACATTCACCTGATGTTGGGTTAGCACTTGGTTTGCAAGTTATTTCTGCTTTGTGCCACTCTGTGTTTTAAGGACTGTGCCTCATCAGGAACACTCCCTGCCTGGTGAGGAGAACAGAGCCCCGTGTGGTATTTATCACACCCCAAAGGACAAGAGAGTCCTTGGCTGTGCCTTCAAGGCCAGCTTTCCAAAAAAGCACAACCTCCCTGGGCTGCTGTTTGGGCTCTGCCATGAGCAGGTCTCCCTGTGAGTGCAGCCCTGGGCAGATGTGGATTTCTAAAACTATCAGCCCCGTTTGCCTCCTCGCAGCTCTAGCAGCAAAAGGGCTTTGGAAAATCCTGGGCTGGCTCCCTCTGTTCCAGGGTAAATGGGACTTTGCATGTTGGCCACTGGCTGCTTGGATATTTAAGGTTTCTTTCCCCAGGTTTGTTTGTTTGTTTGTTTTTTTTTTAAATAATCAATACTGTCAGTGCCATAAGCACGTTTGTTGTTCTCTCTATCCTTGGATTTTGTTGGAGAGGGGGTTGTTTTTCCCTTCTGAGTCAACAAACTTGGAGCTGGCTTATCTCTCCTTATCTCTGTTGCTGAACTTCAAGGCTTTTACCCATCTCATGCCTCCTTTTGACTTGCCTGTGGCATTTTTAAGCTCTTCTTGGGAAAGGACCATCCACAGGTGTGATGTGCCCAGTGTGATGGGTCAGGGGGCTGAGCTGGGACCTGCAGACATCGTTCTCCTGTGTTTGCTGCTAATAATGTAATTTTCTGTGAGAGTGTATGAAGGGATGGAGTCATTCACTGCTGCTTCTTGTGGATGTCTTACTCAGTAATAGCCTCCACCATTTAAAAATGAGGGAAATTGCTTTTTTGAGACATCTAAAGATTTTTCTAATGTTGTGAGGAAAAGCCGTGGCTCAGGGTGCACCTGCCTGGGCCACGGTGTGAAACTGGCTCTGGAAGTGCTTGATGAAACTCTCTGTTTCATGTTGGGGAGGGTCGAGGGGGTGCAGCAGCGTGCAGGGGACATCAGGGACCCAGATCTCCCTCTCTGATTGCCCCATATCCTACAGCATGAGCTCAGGGTACAGACACATCTCTGTGCTGTGTAGCTAAACCTGTGCAAGGATGCTCACAGATCCCTTTCCCTCTTCTTGTGGAGAATAAGACCTTTTCCTTTCTCTTCCCCCGTGGGGCAGTGAGGTGGGAAACCAGAGAAACCTCTTTTGCCGGGCGCGTTTCCAGGCAGAGAGGCCCCGTCCCCCCGCTGGGGTTGCCCTTTTCCAAAGCATCGTGACTAAGCTGGTTTCTCCTCCATGTCTCGCCCTGGGAGGCTGACAGTGAGCCCTGGCCAAGTGTGTGTTCTGCACTCCTCATAAAAACAGCCCCAGGCCACTCCATGCAGTGCTGAGCTGCTCCACCACCAAGTGCCTGCTTTTGCATCTCTCCCTGTTTCTTTTGGCACTCCATGCTGTGGAGGAGCTGGTGCCAGTGTCAGCACAGAGATGCAAACTCCTCATCCTGAGTCGGGTGGGCACCCAGCAATCTGTGGTTTCCTCCTCTTAGCCCCAGTGAGGCACATGTGGAGTGCTGTGTCCAGTTCTGGGGTCCTCAGGACAAGAGAGATGTGGAGCTCCTGGAGCAGAGAGTGACAAAGATGGTGAAGGGACCGGAGCATCTCCCTTAGCAAAGGCTGCGAGAGCCGGGCCTGTTCAGCCTCAGGAAGAGATGCTGAGAGGAGACTTCATCAGTGTCTGTCAGCATCTGCAGGTGTCAGAGGAGGGACCAGGCTCTGCTTGGAGGTGCCCAGCAATGGGACAAGAGGGAATGGACAGAATCTGATGCACAGGAAGTTCTGCCTGAATAGGAGGAAGAATTTCTTTATTGTGCAGTGACCACGCACTGGAACAGATTGCCCAGAGAGGGTGTGGAGTCTCCCTCGCTGATTTTCTTTAAGTCCCCAGAAACCTGCATGCTTTAGTCACCTGGGTTATTTCCCATCCCGTTCCTCTTTTCCCTCAGAACTCTTTCCTTCCCTGCAGTTTCTTTGATGAGACTTGGCAGTGACGTCCAAGAGCAGGAGACTGCTCAGGGCCAGGAGTGTTGCAGAAGTTTGGGCTTTTGCTCTGCCTGCCAAAGGAATGTCTCTGCATCCTGTGGTGCAAATAGACATAAACATGTAGGTTGAGGCAGCTGTGACCTTGCCCTCATCCATATGGAGGTGGGAGAGATGGGGTTGATCTGGATCCTGGTCCCTCTTAACCTGCTCAGGGTTAAGGGGTCTTTCTTTCCTCCTCCCTCCTGGAGAGAGCACTGAGCACTTCCCTGACTTTCTGTACATTGCTTTTTTACACAGCTTCTATTTATACCACCTTAGCTTAAAGGTGACCCCTTGGTCTCTCCTCTGAGCTAAAATAAAAGTTGAGTCGTTTTTCCAAGCTCTGGGTAAACACGGCCTGGTCTGGATGGCCAGAAAAAAGTTGGCCTGGGCTCTCCAATGCGGCTGTGGCTCAGCACAGCTCAGGGGGTGCTTATTCCAGCCAGTAAATCCAAACCTGCAGCAAGGCAGAAAATGGAACTTGTACTGGAGGAGCCTGGATTGCTGTGAATGAGCCCTGAGTGTGGAAATCATTTGGGTGAGCTTTTGCATGGACGTCACAGGCTGGATGGTCTCTCCCAGACCCCGCTGAGATCCCAGCCTTGCCAAGGCCCTTGAAAGCTCTTTTCCAGATCATTTGGAAGTCAGGGTCTGGATTTTGTCCCATCCCTACTTACTGATGTATAATGCAGTTCAATCAAGCCCGGGTGCCTTGAGTACCCCTTCCTGGAGGGGCTGGGATGTGCCTGCAGCACGGCCCCACAGCGTCTCCGGACACGCTGATGGAGCAACTGCCCAAGGTTGCTCTCTGACAGGGGAGCTTTGGCGTGGAATAAATGCTGCTGTTGCCTTTCAGCATGGTGCTGAGTGGTGGCCATAGATGCTGCTGCCCTTGGTATTTGTCACCTTATTCAGCTGTTGACAAGCTTTGGGGTTCCTCACACCTGGGGAGAGGCCGTTTTGCTCTTCAGGAAACTCTCATGTTGCTCAGTGAGTTTTCCAGTGTCAGTTCAATGAGGTGTTTGCGTTGGGTCAAAGACATTTGAGCAAGTGTTTTCTTCCCCACGGCCATGACCTTGGGGCAATCTTTTATCCTCCTGCCCCTCTCCAACGCCAGCCCCATGGAAAGGTGCCAGGGGTGTTCCTTGGAGAGCAGCTCAGCCTGCAAACGCCGCCTTCCAAAACCCGTGCTGGGGTGAGGAGGCACTTGGTGCTGCTGGTGCAACCCCCAGGGCAGTGTCTGTCTGTCCCCATGGTCAGGGCAAAGGGGACAAAATGCTTCAGCAAAGCCACGTGGTGTGGGATGGAGCAGCCACCATGCCCCCTGTCTTTGCTGCGGCCGCTCTGGTCTCCAGCAGGGAGGAGCTGAAAACACGAACGCGTCAGGAGCAAAGGGCCCCCGCAAAAAATTCACAGGCCTGCTTGCCAGCAGGAATATCTGGCTGTAAACTATTGGAAAATTAAAGCAGTTTCTTTTTCCACACACCAAAGCCACATGTATGGATGACTGATGGCCGTGATGGGGGGGAGTCAGGATTTCCTCCAGCTTGAGGACTGGATTTGGGAGAAGCACTGAGTGGCGCTGGGGGAGAGGAGAAAGTGAAGCTTTGGGCAAAGGCTGCTCTTTGGCCTTGTGACCTTGGGCTGTTGGATTGCAGAGCTCTTGCTGTTCTAGGGATGTAAATGTTGGGAGCTCCTCCAAGCCCTGAAGGCTGCCCAGAGTAAATACCCAGTGAGATTTTGGCTTTGCTGACCCCCATCCTGCTGCTTTCCCTGAAGGAAGGCTTTTCTGCTGCTCAGTGGCCAGGGAAAGGCTGGCAGAGCAGTTTAGCAAAGCCCAGCTTTGGTGCCTGCACCTCTGAGGCAGCAGCTCCTCCAAGGCACCAGTTGAAAGACGTGATCCTGTTCACTCACAGGGGGTCAGATGTGGGCAGACACCTCCGAGTGGGAGCTTTGCACAGCAGGGAACACGGTCCACAGCCTCCCCACCGAAATTCCTAGCGTTTCAAGACCTGTGGTGACAGCAATGGGTTAGGGGAGGGTATTTAAAACCTCTTCTAAGCAGTTGGTGTAGCTGGAGAAGTGACTGGAAGCAAAGTGGGTTTTGCCTGTGTAGCTCTGGGTGGATTGAAGATCCATATTCCTGTTCAATTCTGTGTCATTTGAGCAATATGTGCTTAACCACATCCCTGGCTGGGATGCCTTTTCCTTTGTGAGCTCTAAATTGATCAGGTTTGCAAAATGGGTTTGATTACATGAATTGTCACCCGTGAAAGGAAGAAAATATGGAAAGAAAAAGTGATTACTGTGATCTGGATGAAATAATCTATTTCTAGCCCTTCTTCAGCCCTGTGGTGTAAGGACTTAACTTACAAATGATGTTGGGGTTTTTATGCCCTGAATTTTTCAAATCTGTTATTTCTGATGGAGCTGCACCGAAGCTAAAATGAGCTTTTTTTCCTTTTATTTATCCTGTGTGCTGTAACACATGGCTAGAACTGTATTAATAAACTCAGTTTATACAGGGCGAATGTAATCAGGGCACCATGACCAGCAGCTCAGTGCCTTTATCCCCAAACCAAGCACATAATCCAGCTCCTCTGTCATATGTGTTGTTATTTGATCTTGAATTCAAATTATCATTCCAAGCTTCTGACATCCAACTGGCTTTTACAGCAGTCTGAGCTGAAATTGCAGGTATGAAGCAATGGCTTGTTGAGGGACA